AGAGGTGATTGTGGATGTTATGAATGAGAAGAAGCTGGATGTCCTGGCTTTAAGTGAAACAAAGCTGAAGGGGGTGGGAGAGTTTCGGTGGAGAGGAATAAATGGGATTAGGTCAGGGGTTTCAAATAGAGTTAGAGCTAAAGAAGGAGTAGCAATAATGTTGAAGGATAAGATATGGCAGGAAAAGAGGGACTATAAATGTATAATTCAAGGATATGTGGAGTAAAATAAAAGTGGATGTGAAAAGTGGGTTATAATAAGAGTGTATGCACCTGGAAAAAGAGAGAAGTGTAGAGGAGAGAGAGAGAGATTTTGGGAAATGTTGAGTGAATGCATGGGGAGTTTTGAACCAAGTGTGAGAGTACTTGTGATTGGGGATTTCAATCTAAAAGTGGGTAAAAATGTTGTGGAGGGAGTGGTAGGTAAATTTGGGGTGCCAGGGGTAAATGTAAATGGGGAGCCTTTAATTGAGCTTTGTGTAGAAAGAGATTTGGTAATAAGTAATTCATATTTTATGAAGAAGAGGATAAATAAATATACAAGGTATGATGCAGCACGTAATGAAAGTATAGTTTGTTAGATTATGTATTGGTGGATAAAAGGTTGATGGGTAGGCTCCAGCATGTACATGTTTATAGAGTCAACAGTAACAGCCTGGTTGATCAGGCTCTGATCCACCAGGAGGCCTGGTCACAGACCGGGCCGCGGGGGCGTTGACCCCCGGAACTCTCTCCAGATAAACTCCAGAGGGGCAACTGATATATCAGATGAATATTTAGTTGTAGCTACAGTTAGAGTAAGAGGTAGATGGGACAAGGGGAAGGTGGCAACAACAAGTAGGAGGGAAGTGAAAGTGTATAAACTAAGGAAGGAGGAAGTTCGGGTGAGATATAAGCGACTATTGGCAGAAAGGTGGGCTAGTGCAAAGATGAGTAGTGGGGGGGTTGAAGAGGGATGGATGAGTTTTAAAAATGCAGTATTAGAATGTGGGACAGAAGTTTGTGGTTATAGGAGGGTGGGGGCAGGAGGAAAGAGGAGTGATTGGTGGAATGATGAAGTAAAGGGTGTGATAAAAGAGAAAAGGTTAGCTTATGAGAGGTTTTTACAAAGCAGAAGTGTTATAAGAAGAGCAGAGTATATGGAGAGTAAAAGAAAGGTGAAGAGAGTGGTGAGAGAGTGCAAAAGGAGAGCAGATGATAGAGTGGGAGAGGCACTGTCAAGAAATTTTAATGAAAAGAAAAAATTTTGGAGTAAGTTAAACAAGTTAAGAAAGCCTAGGGAACGTATGGATTTGTCAGTTAAAAACAGAGTAGGGGAGTTAGTAGATGGGGAGAGGGAGGTATTTGGTAGATGGCAAGAATATTTTGAGGAACTTTTAAATGTTGAGGAAGAAAGGGAGGTGGTAATTTCATGCACTGGCCAGGGAGGTATACCATCTTTTAGGAGTGAAGAAGAGCAGAATGTAAGTGTGGGGGAGGTATGTGAGGCATTACATAGAATGAAAGGGGGTAAAGCAGCTGGAACTGATGGGATCATGACAGAAATATTAAAAGCAAGGGGGGATATAGTGTTGGAGTGGTTGGTACTTTTGTTTAATAAATGTATGAAAGATGGGAAGGTACCTAGGGATTGGCGGAGAGCATTTATAGTCCCTTTATATAAAGGGAAGGGGGACAAAAGAGATTGTAAAAATTATAGAGGAATAAGTTTACTGAGTATACCAGGAAAAGTGTACGGTAGGGTCATAATTGAAAGAATTAGAGGTAAGACAGAATGTAGGATAGCGGATGAGCAAGGAGGTTTCAGAGTGGGTAGAGGATGTGCAGATCAAGTGTTTACATTGAAGCATATATGTGAACAGTATTTAGTTTAAAGGTAGGGAAGTTTTATTGCATTTATGAATTTAGAAAAGGCATATGATAGAGTGGATAGGAGAGCAATGTGGCAGATGTTGCAAGTATATGGAATAGGTGGTAAGTTACTAAATGCTGTAAAGAGTTTTTATGAGGATAGTGAGGCTCAGGTTAGGGTGTGTAGAAGAGAGGGAGACTACTTCCCAGTAAAAGCAGGTCTTAGACAGGGATGTGTAATGTCACCATGGTTGTTTAATATATTTATAGATGGGGTTGTAAAGGAAGTAAATGCTAGGGTGTTTGGGAGAGGGGTGGGATTAAATTTTGGGGAATCAAATTCAAAATGGGAATTGACACAGTTACTTTTTGCTGATGATACTGTGCTTATGGGAGATTCTAAAGAAAAATTGCAATGGTTAGTGGATGAGTTTGGGATTGTGTGTATAGGTAGAAGTTAAAAGTGAACATAGAAAAGAGTAAGGTGATGAGGGTATCAAATGATTTAGATAAAGAAAAATTGGATATCAAATTGGAGAGGAGTATGGAAGAAGTGAATGTTTTCAGATACTTGGGAGTTGACATGTCGGCGGATGGATTTATGAAGGATGAGGTTAATCATAGAATTGATGAGGGAAAAAAGGTGAGTGGTGCATTGAGGTATATATGGAGTCAAAAAAACGTTATCTATGGAGGCAAAGAAGGGAATGTATGAAAGTATAGTAGTACCAACACTCTTATGTGGGTGTGAAGCTTGGGTTGTGAATGCAGCAGTGAGGAGGCAGTTGGAGGCAGTGGAGATGTCCTGTCTAAGGGCAATGTGCGGTGTAAATATTATGCAGAAAATTCAGAGTGTGGAAATTAAGAGAAGGTGTGTAGTTAATAAAAGTATTAGTCAGAGGGCTGAAGAGGGGTTGTTGAGGTGGTTTGGTCATTTAGAGAGAATGGATCAAAGTAGAATGACATGGAGAGCATTTAAATCTGTAGGAGAAGGAAGGCGGGGTAGGGGTCGTCCTCGAAAAGGTTGGAAGGAAGTGGTAAGGGAGGTTTTGTGGGCGAGGGGCTTGGACTTCCAGCAGGCGTGCATGAGCGTGTTTGATAGGAGTGAAGGGAGATGAATGGTATTTGGGACCTGACAATCTGTTGGAGTGTGAGCAGGGTAATATTTAGTGAAGGGATTCAGGGAAACCGGTTATTTTTATATAGCTGGACTTGAGTCCTGGAAATGGGAAGTACAATGCCTGCACTCTAAAAGAGGAATTTCAGGATATTAGCAGTTTGGAGGGATATGTTGTCTATCTTTATACACAAAGTGTATATGCTTCTAAACTGTTAGTGTTCTGAGCACCTCTGCAAAAACAGTGATTATGTGTGAGTGAGGTGAAAGTGTTGAATGATGAAAGTATTTTCTTTTTGGGGATTTTCTTTCTTTTTTGGGTCACTCTGCCTCGGTGGGAGACGGCCGACTTGTTGAAAAAAAAAAAAATACTCTGCTCAAGAAACCCAAAAATATTAACAAAAATACATTTTTTAAAGATTCATTATAGTTTTACATACACAAAACAATGAGAACTAAGTAAAATAAATAAATGAACATTTAAATCACTATTACATACTATGACAGGCCCGGTAGCCTGGTTTCTAAAGCTCTCGCTTCACACACGGAGGGCCCGGGTTCGATTCCCGGTGGGTGGAAACATTTCGACACGTTTCCTTACACCTGTTGTCCTGTTCACCTAACAGCAAATAGGTACCTGGGTTTGTCGACTGGTGTGGGTAGCAACCTGGGGGAGAAGATTGAGGACCCAAATGGAAATAGTTAGACAGTCCTCGATGACGCACTGACTTTCTTGGGTTATCCTGGGTGGCTAACCCTCCGGGGTTAAAAATCCTAACGAAATCTTATCTTATTGAAGACTCCTGTTGGCTTATGACTTATGGAGAGGAGGAGGACTGATTATTGTTTGGAATGGGAATCCCCCTCCATAAGGACTTCAGGTATCAAAGTCCTCTCGGGGTTACTTCCCTGCCTGCCTGCTACACTCCCTGCCTCCCTTCCACACTCCCTTTTTTCCTGCTGCACTCCCTGCCTCCCTTCACACTCCCTGTTTCCCTGCCACACTCCCTGCCTCTCTTCTACACTCACTCCCTCCATGCTACTCTTCCTGCATGCCTGCTACACTCCCTGCCTCCCTTCTACACTCCCTGTTTCCCTGCTACACTCCATGCCTCCCTTCTACACTCCCTGCATGCCTGCTACACTTCCTGTCTCCTTGCTACACTCCCTCCCTCCATGCTACACTCCCTGCCTCCATGCTACACTCCCTGCATGCCTGCTACACTCCCTGCCTCCCTCCCACACTCCCTATTTCCATGCTACACTCCCTCCCTCCATGCTACACCGCCTGCATGCCTGCTACACTCCTTGCCCATGGTGGCTTATTTCACAGTCGCGCTTAATAAACAGGCCACATCAGCTTCCTAATGTGGCCGACATATGAGGCAACGGCCTAAATATGGAGCAAAATTTCCGCTGAAAAACTGGCCTAAATACAAATCGGCCGCTAAATCCAGCAGCCGAAAAATGAGGTTCCACTGTACCTGGAAAGTACTTGAGGGCCTGGTCCCAAATCTGCACACTGCCATAACAACATACTGGAGTGAGAGATATGGGAGGAAGTGTAAAATAAACCCAGTGAGGAGCAGGGGTGTAGTGGGGGCAATAAGGGCACACTGTATCAATATCCGGGGTCCCAGACTATTCAACATCTTACCAGAAGATATCAGAAACATGGCTAGAACAAGTGTAGAATCCTTCAAGAGGAAACTGGGCAAGTATCTCACCAGGTGCCAGATCAACCAGGCTGTGATGGATGTGTGGGGCAGCAAGGCCATCAGCAGCAACAGCATGGTTGATTAGGCAAGCACTGGACGATCCTGGCCCATGGCCAGGCTCTGAGAGTAGTTAAACTCTCGAAACTCTTCAAAGGTAAGGTATATCAAAGGTGGGCAAGCTATGTTGCTAAAATTTCTGATCTGTACTGAACATGGCTTTATATGACTGACTTCACCCTCAGCCATATACAAGCATTGCAACTTCAGAATATTACAGTATTGCATCCTGAACTAGAAAAATACTTTTTTATGCAGAGTGAGGTCTGTGTTGCAAAGAAGAGGAAGGTTGAACAAGTTGGTACCACATTAACTACACATCTGACCCCATCACAATCCTCAAGTGGTTATGGTGCCAAGAAACATCGCAAATCTTCAGTTACATATTCTTCTGAGCCAAGTCAAACTAAGAAAGACATTGGTATGTACATATATATTTTTTTTAATTTGATGGCTGTCTCCCACTAAGGCAGGATGACCCAAAGGTAAAAAACATACCTCATTAAATTGCTGTCAGAAGTGTGCTGACATCACAATTCAAATTGCCTTCCAACTGCAACATTTGCACTCCTCCTTCAGAGTGCAAGCAAATGCAGTTTCCACCTTCAGGGCTCATGTCTAGTTAACCATATTTCTTGAATCCTACATAAAAAAAATTCATGCTGAAACTCCGACAGCACATCTATTAAAAACCACATACTACATGTATCTCCATTCACTCTTATGTAACATGCTCACACAATCCTTTTGGATGCTCAGGCCCCTAAAACTCATTCTCTTTTAGGATATAGGAGGGGTAGGGGTCATTCTCTTCCCTACAACTAGGGTTGTAGATTGACAGGCACAAATACATTCAATTTGAATAGAGATTCATTGTATGCTGTGGTGGGAAACACTAATGCTGGACATGTAGTATATGAGAGACTTAATGGTTGTAAGTTGGTAATCAGTCTATGAACTGGGTTTTTAACAGCTTTGTTTATAAATATTTAATATTAACTTTCACAAGAGTTTATCCTCATCACCAAATCGACCAGACAGCAGTCAAGCAGGATTTTGAACTGAAATATATGCATTACTACTAAGTTGGGATAAAGATGAATTTTCTGTAAATATAAAATTGTCTTACATGCAGAGAAAACACTTAACAATCCTTTTTTGACACACTAGCCGTCTCCCACTGAGACAGGGTGACCCAAAAAGGAAGAAAAACCCAAAAAGAAAGAAAAAACTTTCATCATTCAGCACTTTCAACATCATTCATACATAATCTCTGTCTTTGCAGAGGCACTCAGATATGACAGTTTAAGTATCCCTCCAAACAGCCAATATCCCAAACCCCTTCCTTTCAAATGCAGGCATTGTACTTCCCACTTCCAGGACTCGAGTCCGCTCACCGGTTTCCCTGATCCTTAAAAATATACCTGCTCACACTTCCAACCTCGTGAAATACGTTGCTATATTGCTGTGAGAAAATATAGGAAGCTTAAAAATTTTTTAAAATTATAAGTTAATTATGGAAACAGACCTAAAGCTAAAATAGGAAAGCAGTGAGGATATGTGTTATCTTATATTTATGCTTCAGACTGTTGTATTCTGAGCACCTCTGCAAAAACATGATAATGTGTGAGATATGTGGAAAGTGCTTGAATATGATGAAAGTATTTCTTTTGGAATTTATCTTTTATTTTTGGTCACCTGCCTGGGGAGAACGACCAACTTGTTAAAAAGAAAAAAAAAAAAAATTAGAGAGGGTGTGGTAGGTAAGTTTAGGGTGCCAGGTGTAAATGATAATGGGGAGCATTTGATTGAACTTTGTATAGAAAGGGGTTTGGTTATAAGTAACAGATATTTTAAGAAAAAGAGGATAAATAAGTATACAAGATATGATGTAGGGCGATATGACAGTAGTTTGTTAGACTACATATTGGTAGATAAAAGACTGTTGGGTAGACTTCAGGATGTACATGTTTATAGAGGGGCCACAGATCTATCAGATCACTTTTTAGTTGTAGCTACAGCGAGCATAAAAAGTAGATGGGATACAAGGAGAATGGAAACAGCAAGTAAGAGAAAAGTGAAGATTTATAAACTAGAGGAGAAGGCAGTTAGAGTAAGATATAAACAACTGTTGGAGGACAGATGGGTTAGTGAGAGTATAGGCAATGGGGTAGAAGATGTATGGGGTAAGTTTAAGAATAGTGGGCTCTGGTGGCCTGGTGGTTAACGCTCTCGCTTCACACGGTGAGGGCCTGGGTTCGATTCCCAGCCAGAGTAGAAACATTGGACGTGTTTCTTTCCACCTGTTGTCTATGTTCCCCATCAGTAAAATGGGTACCTGGGTGTTAGTCGACTGGTGTGGGTCGCATCCTGGGACGCTGACCTAAGGAGGCCTGGTCACAGACCGGGCCGCGGGGGCGTTGACCCCCGGAACTCTCTCCAGGTAAACTCTCTCCAGGTAGTGTTACAGTGTTCAGCAGAAGTTTGTGGTTACAGGAAAGTGGGTGCGGGAGGGAAGAAGAACGATTGGTGGAATGATAAGTTGAGAAAGCCTAGGGAAAGAATGGATTTGCTAGTTAAAAATCGGAGAGGAGAGTTATTAATTGGAGAGTTAGAGGTATCGGGAAGATGGAGGGAATATTTTGAGAAATTGTTAAATGTTGATGAAGATGGGGAAGCTGTAATTTTGTGTATAGGACAAGTTGGAATAACATCTTATAGAAGTGAGAAAGAACCAGTTGTGTGTGGGGGAAGTGCGTGGGGCAGTGAGTAGAATGAAAGGGAATAAAGCAGCTGGGATTGACGGGATAAAGATAGAAATGTTAAAAGCAGGTGGGGATATAGTTTTGGAGTGGTTAGTGTTTTTATTTAATAAATGTATGGAAGAGGGTAAGGTACCTAGGGATTGGCAGAGAGTATGCAAAGTTCCTTTGTATAAAGGCAAAGGGGACAAAAGAGAGTGTAAAAATTATGGGGGAATAAGTCTGCTGAGCTTAGGTAGGTACTACCATGACTCACGAAATCGTAATGACACGATTGCAAACAAACCATACCACGGGCGGGATTGAACCCGTGGTCAGAGAGTCTCAAAACTCCAGACCGTCGCGTTAGCCACTGGACCAGCTAGCCACAATAAGATTTGTCCAACTAGGTATATTTCTACACCATAGGAAGGTTAGCATAGACACCACTGTGACCACAAATGCGAGTTTTTACAGACGAATCTCCAGCTAGCGTGGCCGTGACGAACTCTAGCTCAAGTCCCCTCAATGCCGTCAACATGACTCACGAAATCGTAATGACACGATTGCAAACAAACCATACCGGGCGGGATTGAACCCGCGGTCAGAGAGTCTCAAAACTCCAGACCGTCGCGTTAGCCACTGGACCAGCTAGCCACAATAAGATTCATCCAACTAGGTATATTTCTACACCATAGGAAGGTTAGCATAGGCACCACTGTGACCACAAATGCAAGTTTTTACAGACGAATCTCCAGCTAGCGTGGCCATGACAAACTCTAGCTCAAGTCCCCTCAATGCCGTCAACATGACTCACGAAATCGTAATGACACGATTGCAAACAAACCATATATGTACCTAGTTGGATGAATCTTATTGTGGCTAGCTGGTCCAGTGGCTAATGCGACGGTCTGGAGTTTTGAGACTCTGACCGCGGGTTCAATCCCGCCCGTGGTATGGTTTAGGTACTACCATCCTGCCAAATGAGTGTAAAATGAAAGCCTGTAATTGTTTTACATGATGGTAGGATTGCTGGTGTCTTTTTATTCTGTCTCATACACATGCAAGATTTCAGGTATGTCTTGCTACTTCTACTTACACTTAGGTCACACTACACATACATGTGCAAACATATGTATACACACCCCTCTGGGTTTTCTTCTATTTTCTTTCTAGTTCTTGTTTTTGTTTATTTCCTCTTACCTCCATGGGAAAGTGGAACAGAATTCTTCCTCTGTAAGACATGCGTTTTGTAAGAGGCGACTAAAATGCCGGGAGCAAGGGGCTAGTAACCTCTTCTCCTGTATATATTACTAAATGTGAAAGGAGAAGCTTTCGTTTTTCCTTTTCAGCCATCCCGCCTCAGTGGGATACGGCCGGTGTGTTGAAAGAAAGAAAGAAAGAAGTCTGTTGAGCCTAGGTAGGTACTACTATCCTGCCAAATGAGTGTAAAATGAAAGCCTGTACGTAATTGTTTTACATGATGGTAGGATTGCTGGTATCTTTTTTCTGTCTCATAAACATGCATGATTTCAGGTAGGTCTTGCTACTTCTACTTACATTAAGGTCACACTACACATGCATGTACAAGCATATACACCTACCATCTGACTTACGACCGAGTTCGGTTCCGAGAAACCGGTCGTCAGTCGAAATGGTCGTAAGTCGAACTTTACTACTGAATATCAACAAAACATTTTTGTAATGACTTTATTTTATTGTTTTATTTTGGTATTTCATGTTTTACTTTACTTTTTATGCTGTTAGTACTGTATTTTATTCTGTAAGGTTTAGGATAAACACTGTGTACAACACAAATAGTTGTTTATTTCCCAGAAATTTGGCATAAAAAACACGGTCGTAAGTCAAGTGGTCGTAAGTCGAGCAGGTCATTAGTCGGATGGTAGGTGTATATATATACAGACCCTTCTGGATTTTCTTCTATTTTTCTTACTAGTTCTAGTTCTGGTTTATTTCCCCTTATCTCCATGGGGAAGTGGAACAGAATTCTTCCTCTGTAAGCCATGCGTGTTGTAAGAGGCGACTAAAATGCCAGGAGCAAGGGGCTAGTAACCCCTTCTCCCGTATAAATTACTAAATTTAAAAAGAGAAACTTTCGTTTTTCTTTTTGGGCCACCCTGCCTTGGTGGGATACGGCCGGTTTGTTGAAAAAAAAAAAAAAATGGAGAAACTTTCGTTTTCTTTTTGGGCCACCCCACCTCAGTGGGATACGGCCAGTGCGTTGAAAGAAGGAAGAAGTCTGTTGAGTATGCTTGGTAAAGTGTATGGTAGAGCTATTATTGAAAGAATTAAGAGTAAGACGGAGAGCAGGATAGCAGATGAATAAGGAGGCTTTGGGGTAGGTAGGGGGTGTGTAGACGAAGTTTTTACAGTGAAACATATGTGATGAATGGTTTTGAAAACCGACAACTTGAAGAATTGAGACTCTTATGGGAATCTTTATTGAAGAAATGTTTCGTCAATAAAGATTTCCATATGTTGCATAAGTGTCTCAATTCTTTAAGTTGTCGGTTTTCAAAACCATTCATCACGTCTGTCAGACACTGCAACATCATGGGATCTTGGTACAAAGACTTCAACGCTTGTCCAACCTTTGGACGAGGACCTACTTACACTAGTGGCAGGTCCCACTGTGATCCTGCCACCTCCAGCTTTGACA